CCACTGAATATACCGAAGTACTGTGTGATTGTTTAAAAAGGAAGATATTTAAGTGCTGATATAGAGATTTCCAGGATATGTTTATAATTGAAAAGACTAACATTCAGAATAGTACGTATAACAGTTACTTCTTTTCTAAAAGGGGAAGGAGAATGATGCATATTATGTTTACTTGCTTTTACATAAAGAAACACCATAAGAATAAATAATAAATTAATAAAAGTGATTGCGTATTAGAGACAAGAGGGAACAGGTTGGATGGGAACAAAGAAGGAAGTGAGACATCTCAGTATACATAATCTATATCTCTTGATTTTGAATCATGTAAACAAATTACTTTAAACAAAAACAAAGTTGTGAAATTCATCATTTCATCACTGTTCATCACCATCATCAATTGGTTAATGAAGTCTGGTGGTGCAGGCAGTAAGGTATGACAAATATATTAATGGAGTCTTGTAATTTAAGGAACTTTGGGACTGTTAGAAAAATTACTAAGTAAGTGTTTATTTTTCTGGTCAAATTGAGAGAAAACAGTATCTAAAGAAAACATCAAACTAATTGAACAATAACCTAAATAGGAAGTAGCTTACTGTAATTCATTGATAGCTTTGTATTTTAAAATCTTCATAATTTCTGTTGGAAGCTTGCATTACATTTAATTTTTTTAACCATCAAGAATATGACGTTTAACGTTGCCACAAAATAGAAAATCTGTTTCTACTAATATACATGACTACCTTGTATCTTATTATTGTCCTTTTTTTCTGATAATATTTATGAACTTCAGTAATCCTGAAGGCTAAATGATTCATCCTCTTTCAGTTGATGAGTTTTGTTTGTTGAAAGTTTCTAGAGAAAATGTGGGAACATGGGATAGGTCTCCAGTATCATATTTTTGGAAGAGCCTAAACTGGGTGGTGCATGAGATAAGTGGACCTTTGGATGACTGGAACATTTGTTTTGAGGAAATATATCTTTGTTCAAGATTCTATTGTGACATCAGGTCCTTGAAACTTGTGTGACTCCTTGAGATCCATATACCTATAACTGTCTTTGTACCATTGTGGGAGTTTGGCTCAGCCATTGGCGTTGTGACTCTAGAAAGGTGCTTGGCACATGGAAGTTGTTGAATGCATCTCCCTGAGCTTCAGTTTTCTCTTTGATAAAATGGAATGATAGCTTATTTTTTCCCCACTAACCTTTCTGTGTGATTCTGAAAGGCAAATGAGACGATCATATATCGTAAATGCTTTGTGAATTGAACATAAACTTAGTTATTGTTGCTTGGTTTTATCTCTTATTAGGGATTCTGTATGTATTATTTGATAAGTTATTTTTATTATTATTTTTCTATTATCTGAAGCTTTCTTTTATCTTTTTCTATATTTAGTGGAGCAAGGGAACTCTTATCCTTGTTTTTTCTAGAACCTTGTTGATGGTTATCTGATAATAAATTTTATTGATAAATACACAGGAGAGGGTATATTAACTCTTGAACTCTGGTGGATTAACAACATATGATTTTTTGTTGTTGTTGTTACCACGAGTTGAAGCAGCATGGTGTAGGAAAGAAGATGAGCTTTACAATTCCATCCCTGCTTTTTTACTTTAACTTCTCTGTGACTGGGTATGGTGGCCTATAATCCCAGCACTTTGGAAGACTGAGGCAGGAAGATTGCTTTAGACCAGGAGTTTGAGACCAGCCTAGACAATATAGAGAGAGCTTGTATCTACATAAAGTTAAAAACAAACAAAAAATTTATTTGAGACTTTGTTCATATGTCAGATGGGGAGAAAACCTAGTGTGGTTCTATGAATTAAGGGGAATGTGTATAATAAAGTAATTATCACAATGGTTAGTAGAGGTAGTTGCTCAGAAAATGATAATTTGTGTCATTGTCATCGAGTGATTTTTTTTTTACTAGGATGTTTACTATTCTAATATGTTGTCAGCCAACTGCTAAAATATTTGGCATACAAGTTATTGTTCATCTTACAGAACAGATTACTAAAAATAAGCATTTGAGGAAAGTTCATGGAAGCTGGCAGCATTTATTTAATCACCATTGTTTGATAGGTATTGTACATTTTCCATTTGTCTTCCAGTGACCTGTTCTTAAGGATTATTTTATTAAGTTGGATATACTCAATTACATTCAAATTAATGGTACAATTAAGAGAAGAGTTGTGGGGGGTTAACTACTAGATAATAGAAACATTCCACTTGTAAGTAACCCTTAATCCACAAAATTTTTATAGCAGATGTTTGCATTTCTTCTACCCCACAGTACCCTGTGTACCTGTCATGCTGGATAAATAACAGGTTCTGATGAATTTGCACCCTGGTGTCATAGAAACGGTAGAAATCAAAGATTAAAATAGAACACATAGTGATCAGCTTTCCTAGGGTAAATTGAAGCATAGTACTGAGGCAATTATTCAGGTAATTCAGACCCAAATCTGCTGTATGAAAATAGAACCGACATTTATTGAGCACTTACCATGTGCCACGCTCTAGGTTAAACATTTTATGTGTTATATTGATTATTCTTTTAAAAAATTCCTATGAAGTATATTTATTATTATCCTGACTTTATAGGTGAGCATATTGACACAGATAAAGTTAAGTAATTTTCCCAAAGATATACAGTAAGTGATAGAAACAGGAATGCACCTTATCTCTGACACTAAAATCTATGGGTTTTTTTCTCTAGATAATGTTACCAGTTGTACATCTGCCAAAGGTATTTGGCATAATTTCAGCTTTGATGGTAAAATCTTTACTATTAGAATAAAGTAAGATACTACAAAAGGAATATGCAAAGATAATATTTTTCTTTGCCTGAGAAGTTGTGCTACTTTTAGTCAGAATAAGCATGGCATTGTAGGCAGACCACATAGGCCAAGGTGCGTTCATGTGCACGCATACACGTGAACACACACACATATGCACATACACAGAGTTAGCTTACACTTCTGAAACTTTGAGCTGAAAATTACGTCTCAAAGGTATGAAAAATTAACTGTAGTTGTTCTAAATAAATTTAATTAAGGATTTTCCTGAATAGAATTGGGAATTCTATAGAATTCAAGATTATTTTTTTTGCCAGAGTGTCTTTCTCATATGTAATCTATATGATAATATCTACTCTAACCTGGACCTATGGGGATATCAGCGAGTACTATCTGAACATCCTTCCACAGGGGAGCTATAACTTTCATGTGCTAGTCCTCATGTTCATCCAGTGTAGTCTTGCAGAATGTCCCAAGACCAAATAGTAGAGATGCTGACATTTACTCTGAAAAAATTCCTTTTTCTAGACTTAAAAGCTATAGTTGTGTAGGCCTTTAAATGCTCTGGTCTGGATATTTCAGAATGAGTAATTAATTTTCTCTTTTGGAGGATTTTTTTAGATGTCTTGAAAGAACATTAAAGGAATTTTTGATCTTCAAGGCATATTAAAATGACTAAAACTTCAAAAATATTAATTGCTTCTATCCACAAGGAAGAGATCTGAAAGAGATTTTAGTAACACTGGCTGTTCGACTCAAGAGTCTCCTTGTTAAATCCTATTTGTGAAACTGTGTTTAGTTGAACGAATGTAGCTTTCAGCTGTTCTGCCTGTTGATTCCTTTTTTAAAAAATGTACTTACAATACATGTATTAGCATCAACTCTTCATTTTTCAGTGGTGACTAGAATTGGAGCAGCAGATAGAGCAGATAATCCTGAAACTTCATTTCCCAAATGTATCAGTCCATTTAGTGATTTGGTTATCATTTGAGTGAGGCCTGAGGTGGAGTAGAGAGAAAGGTGATGAGAATAGATGACCCTGGGGAGCTGTGTAGCCTGGCTGGTGTTGAAGTCACAGAGGAAGAGAAGATTGCAGGCAACTTCTGAGATGTGTTTTTTGTAAGCCTCCTCTACCATCTGCTTTCATTGAGGTAGCAGAGCAAAAACCTCTTAGGTTTATGTCATTAGTGTACTGCAAATATTTTCCTTCAACAAATCAGTGATTTGTGCTGGTGATTTGAAAGCCCCTAGGGAAATTGATCACAAATTCTCCTGGGCTAGTTGACAGGCGTGGCCATCCTGCTTACTTAACTGGAACAGTAGGGATACTGAGTAACCTTAATTTTTTTTTTTTAATATGTGTGCGTATGGTGGCAGAGGGCTGTTGGCAAGAAGCTGATTGTAGTCTTTCTCCAACTCCGTGACCCTCCTAGGACCCAGAGCTACATGATGACCTCCCCAACTTTCATTCCCTAGCTTATAGGTTCTTATAGGAGTGATATCACCTCCTGGGGGTGGAAATTAGTTCTTGACAGCGATTGGGAAGGTAAGAAAAACTTATTCCTTTTATGTATAAAGCACAGATATGTGTATAATACATAAACAGAGAGACATATTTGTGGTATTAAAATGTAATAGAGTTAGGAAAATAGTGTAAAAGGTTACTTAGGGGGAGGGTTGATAATTTTAAAAGGTTGAGAAACACTACTTAAGCAATATCCAGGTAAAGAAGAATGGACAACTTTGGAGTCGAGAGAAGAGAATGAAATGGTTGGACTTAAAACAGCTTCAGTTTTCTTTTAAAGTTGGAGTAGTTATCTCCAAAGTAAGAAGTAACAAGGGTTGGGATCTTGTGGACAGAAAGATTCAGATCCACTTCTGTGGAACTAGGAATGACAGTGAATATCAGCCTCCCTAGCGAGTGGTTGTGTGGATCTGTGTCCTAGGAAAACAGTAAAGTTGGTGAATCCTACCTTAATGTCCCTTAGGGCCTTTAGCTTTTCCCTCCTCCTCTCCTAATGAAATCTGCATCTAGCTAGTTGTTTTCTTGCCACATCCACTTCCCTCTCCTCCCCTCACTGGTAACCACTGTTCTGCTGGTTTGCTTATTGTCACTATAGACAAGTTTGTATTTTCTGGAATTTTATATAAATGGAACCATACAGTCTTTTATCGTCTGGCAATTGATGTACATATCCTTTCAGTTCCAGTTCAGACATCATAAGAGATATTCTAGAAGAAGAGGAAGCCTGGGAAGCATCACACAAGTAAGTTCTCATAATCATGAAATAAGTGTGTACTTTGACCTGAGAAATCATATTTCTGTGTATCTGATTTTCAACAAAACAATATTTGTGCCTTCTGATTTTAGAAAGAAGTAATCCACACACAAGGCAATGAGTTCCAGCTCACTACTTGTTTCTGTATATTTCTGCTTACTCTGATTATTTATGAAATATTATTTCTGTAAGGATAAATTGTTCCTATAGGCAGTTAATACAGTCATACATCACTTAACACTAGGGATACATAATGAGAAATATGATTTCATTGTTGTGTGAACATCTTAGAGTGCACTTAAACATACCTAGATGGCATAGCCTACTACACACCTGGGCTCTAGGGTAGAGCATATTGCTTCTAGGCTACAAACCTGTACAACAGGTTACAGTTAGGTAATTGGAGCATAATGGTAAGTCTTAATGTATTTAAACATGGAAAAGAACAGTAAAAACAAAGTATTAAAATCTTATGTAACCGCCATCATATATGTGGTCACATAAGAGGTCCGTCGTTGACTGAAATGTTATATGGTGCTTGGCTGTATCTCTGGAACCCGTTGATTTAGTTCCACTCATATCACTCTAATCCATGCTATTGACGTATCTTGACTAGACAATAACCTCTTAATTTGTCTGTTGTCATTTCCTCTGGCATCTTTATAACCGAATTGCCATATTGCTGCCAAAGTAATCTTTTAAAAATGCAGATTTAAGCAGTGTTACTCATCCCTCTGCTTTAATGGCTTCTTGTTTCTCTTAGAAGGGGCTCTTTAATATGCTTGAAAGGCCCTGCGTGATCTGATCTCTTATAGACTCTTTTCTTTCCTTCTCCAGACCTTTTATGATATGAATTCTCTCTGCTCCATCATACAGACCTCTTCCATGAGAAGTTCTCTTCCACCACAGGGCCTTGGAACAGGCATGTCCCTCTGCACAGAATGTTCTTCCAATCCTTCTTCACCTAGTTTACACATCTACTTATTCTTCAGATCTCATCTCAAGAGCTACTTCTTCTGGAAGTTTTCACTGACCCTTCTAGCTAGATTCAGTCCTCCTGTTATAGGCACTCTGTCCTCTTTCCAGCACATGTGTGTGATTATTTGTTTGCCCATCACCCCTGGTGATCTGTACATTCAGCATTGTAGCCCCAGTGTCAACACAAGACTAACCAACAATAAATAACTTTACATATGTGATCTCATTTAAATATAACAATACTATCCGTTTTATAGTGAGCAAATGATGCTGAAAGAGGTAAATCTCTAGCCCAAGATCATATAGCAATAAGTAATAATTGATAGAGTTGAGATTCTAACCCAGCTGTCAAAACTCAGGGCATATAACCATTAAAACTATACAGTGCTGTTGACATTTTGTAGTTTCATAGCTGAATCATGGGGTGAATAGAAAAGTGTGGTGTTTCTGGGGGATGCATTGTGAGTAGGTTTATTATGAGATATTTGGTGGTTCAAACAGTGGCAGTTTATGAAAGTTTGAGATCTTGACTGTATTACCATCTCTTACCTAAGCAATTTAACTTTGAATTTTGGAAGAGGAGGCAACTCTTTAACTAACTACTTCCTCTTGCACCTGTTCATGCTGAATAAACCTTTACCCAGTGACTGTGATAAGCCCAGAGTTCCCGAGCCCATGCCCAGTCTTGATCATGATGACTTCTTAAAGTTGTCTTTAGGCCAGGTGCCTGTTAGAGGGCAGGCGTAGTGGCTCACCCCTGTAATCCCAGCACTTGGGGAGGTTGACGCAGGAGGATTGCTTGAGCCCAGGAGTGACCAGCCTGGGCAACATAGTGAGACCTTATCTTTACAAAAAATAAAAAAAACAGCTGGGTGTGGTGGTGTGTGCCTGTAATCCCAGCTACTTGGGAGACTGAGGTGAGAACAGCACTTGAGCCCAGGAGTTCCAGGCTGTGGTGAGCTGTGATTGTGCCACTGCACTCCAGCCTAGGCAACAGAGTGAGGCTGCAACTCAAAAAAAAAAAAAGCACTTAGGAAACAAATCCCGCCCCTCCCCCACCTGCCTAAGGATTGGCAGCCATCATGAACGACACAGTAACTATTCGGACCAGGAAATTCATGACCAACTGTCTTCTTCAACGGAAACCAGTGGTTATTGATGTCCTTCACCCTGGGAAGGCAACAGTACCTAAGACAGAAATTCGGGAAAAACTAGCCAAAATGTACAAGACAACACCAGATGTCATCTTTGTATTTGGATTCAGAATTCATTTTGGTGGTGGCAAGACAACTGGCTTTGGCATGATTTACGATTCCTTGGATTATGCAAAGAAAATGAACCCAAACATAGACTTGCAAGATATGGTTTGTATGAGAAGAAAAAGACTTCAAGGAAGCAGTGAAAGGAATGCAAGAACAGAATGAAGAAAGTTAGGGGGACTGCAGAGGCCAGTGTTGGTGCTGGCAAGAAGTGAGCTGGAGATTGGATAACAGGCAAAGGACTAAAGATGATGCAGTGACGATATCTGTGGCCATTGTTTTTTTTTCATAACCAGCTTAATAAACTAAAAACTTTAAATTAAAAAAAAAAAAGAAATAAGGAAAAGAAAACAAATCCCATCACTTAATCCTCACAAATAATAAGTATTAAAGCTAGAAAGATGTAAGTGCTCATCTGGCCCAATTATTTCATTTTATGGAAAGGGAAGCTGGGCTCCAGAGAGATAAACTGAGTAGGTCATGTTCCAAAGATTAGTTAGTGGCACTGCTAGGACTAGAATCCAAGCCTTCTGACTGCAGCTGAGTATGGAACAGTTTAAACAGCCACGGTTCCTACTGTGTGTGAGCTTGCACTGTGGTGTAGTTTTAAAGGCACAATCAGGAAAAGCCTACAGAGCTTTACTTTTCAACAAAATGTTGCAATTCTACAAATACTCATCTTAGTTTTATCGGCATATTTTTGGTACTACAAGTGGCATATTTGAGTTATTAGTCCTAGAACATACTATTTTAGTTCCAACACATTCTCCTAATTTCATAAATGATTCAGAGATTTTGGTCAGCAACACATTGCTCCATAAAAAGTAGTGTTTTTATAAGCAGCAAGAAAAATAAAATCATGACCTTTGCAGCAACATGGATGCAGCAGAGGAACATCAGACTAAGTGAACTATCACAGAAACAAAAAACAGTATGATGCATGTTCTCACACATAAGTGGGCCCTGATTACTAGTCATTTCTTCTGTGTGGGAAGAACAGATGCTGGATACTGCTGAAGGAGGGAGATGGCTTAAGGGGCACAAAACCACACGCTGTAGCAGGTCCACTGTCAGGAAGAGAGGGCTCACAAGAATTTCAAACCCCACCTGCATGCAACTTACTTATGTAGTAAATCCTCACATGTACCCCACAATTCTAAAATAAAATAAAAATAAAGTCAATGTGACAACAGTGAAAAAAAAAAAGAGTGGCTAGCCTCTCCCCTCCCCACCAAGGGCAATCTCTCCTCTACTTGAAAGGTTTTTTAGAGGTCAAAATGTAATATACAGAAAAAAAATATATAATACAAGCTACAAAATATTTTGCAGCATGAAAAATAGTTATCATTTCATTTATCTGGTTCTCAGTTCTCAGTTTCTTTATACTTAAAGTATGGGGGAAATATATGAGCCTTAGGGTCTAAGCTCTTCTCTTCATATCTGCTGCTCATCCACTGTCCCCACTTCTTAGCATATGGTAGTATCATAGTCTTCCCCACCGTCCAAGCAGACACCAGGCAATCATTTTAACCTCCCCATGCTCCCCCACCACTTACATGTAGTCCGTTGCAAAGTCCTTCGGATATGTGGCGCTCACTTAAATATGCATTAGAATCGCCTGGAGGGCTTGTTAAAAGGTAGATTAGTGGGCTCCACCTCCAGAGATTCTGATTCAGTTGATTTAGGGTGGAGTTTAGTAATTTGTATTTTTAAAAGTTCTTAGTTGTAGCTGATGCTACCTCTGTATTCTATCAGCCCCTTGTGTCCTCTTCTGCTACAGGCCCTTTGCTCCCCATTTGCAGGAACAGCTGTTCCCCTGTTTCTCTGCCTTTGGTCATCACCAATTTATTCTGCCAGTGAAATGTAAACTACAGGTGTTTTCCCCCTTATTCTTTAAAGTTTTTCAAGGCCCCCCCCGGCATCCAAGGCTCTTTGTGTTCTGGCCCCAGCTTACCTGACTGGCTTGTGGAATTTCACTTTTTTGCCTCCCTACCCCACAACTCTGTTTTAGCCAAGCGGTACCACTCCCAGTTGCCTCGTGAGCTACGCTGCCTGGCCTTTGAGGCTTTGCACTTGCTGTTGCTTCTGCCTGAATTGCCTTTTCCCTTTTCGTCATCTAGATAGGAATTGTCATCCCCTGCTTCATAACTCTATTCTAGCTTTTCTCTGGCAGCACTCTTCCCTTAACGCTTGATTCCCTTTTTTCTTAAGAGTATGTTAGACTTTGAATCCCTGACACATAGCACAGTACCTTTGTGACCCAGAGTAGTCACTCAATAAATATGTGAATGAATGAATGTGTCAGTCAGTCAATCAGTGTTTATTGGCTCTGAATGTACTCACTAGTAGAATGTTCTTAAAGTAGATAACTTTAAGAGCCTGTAAACAGATAAAGATTGCTACTGTAAACTAAAAATAAAATCCTAAGGCCTTCAGCTGACTGAACAGATCCCCTCTTGGCCAAGGGGACCCCAGGGAAACCTTAAAAACTGAACTCTTGACCATGACAGAACAGAACTTATTATACCCCCCTTTTTTGTGGTGTAGATATAACTGACCAGCATTACTGCTAAACTAGAGATCATAAGATTGACAGACAGACTCTTTGTGGCAATAAAATACCAAATTTTTAAAAAATTCAAATTACAGAATATTTGCTATATAAATTAATACATTATAATTTTTTCTAGAGGTAAATTGCTAATTTTATAGCATTATCATTAGATAGTGTCATGATTCCATGTGCAGTCT